CTCACCTCAGCCTCCCAAAGGCGCAGGATTACAGGCTGAGCCACCGAGCCCGGCTTACACATTTCTTTCTTGTCAAGATTTTCAGTTAAGATTTTGTAGCCAGGCACGGTGGCTCACGCCTGTAATCCCAGCACTTTGGGAGGCAGAGGTAAGGGAATTGCCTGAGCCCATGGGTTTTGAAAGGACAGACCGAGAGCTGAAAGCTGTTTTTTAATCTTGTTCTTAAACCTTAATACAATGATGAGAAAGTAGAAGCTATGTTTTGGGGAAATGCATACTTTAGGAAAACTTAACCTTGCCAACTATGTCTTTTCAGAAACAGACTTCCAGGTATCAGAGGTATCTCATTGGACAAGGATTGTAGAAGGCATGAGACTTGTAATTACAAAAGTTATGACTGCTCAGAGGGGGAGCAAGTGGGGATTTGATCTTCCAGTAAATTGGGCCCTATCTACAGGGAAGTCAAGGATCCCCTGAAGCTACCCACTGGGAATGCCGTGGAGATAAGGGGAAATGCACCCTCCATTAGCTCTAAGGAATGTCGTTCGGGAGGGGGCAGGAGCATCAGAATCTTTGTCATGCCCTTCTATAGGGGCTATGATAATATGGGCAGATATGAGTGGGTCTCTGTGTCACAGGATCTCCAAGACATCCACAGGTAGTCGGTAAGGAAGTCACGGCAGTCATGTTTACCTGATTGCAACATCTCCAGGGGAAAGGATTTAAGCCAGGACTCGGGGGGCTACAGGGCCACACTCATCTAGAGTGTAGGTCCGCTCCCTGTCTGTGGGGAGTGATCTTGAATAAATCTTTTCTTCTCTCACTGCTTTGTGTGTTGCAATTCTTTGCATTACTCAGATCTCTGAGTTACCAGCACGTACCTCCGGCTTGCTGGCTCCGGCCGTGCTGCGCCTCCCCTTGCCTCTCCTATCCATCCATCCAGTCTCACCCTATCCGTGCTCTAACATTTTCAAGAATAGCCTGTGCAACTTGACGAGACCTCATCTCTACAATAAGTCAAAAAATTAGCCAGGCATGGTAACACACTTGTAGTTCCAGCTACTTGAAAGGCTGAGGCAGAAGGATCACTTGAGCCTAGCAGGTCAACATTGGGGTGGCTGTGAACATGCCACTGGACTCCAGTCTGGGTGACGAAGTGAGACTCTGACTCAAAATATATATGTATATCCCTTTTGCTAACTTTATCAATATTTATTTGACCTGGTATGCCTCTCACAGTCAACTGATGATTTTGACACACAATTCAACAAAGTTTTGCTATGTTTTTGTCAGTTCTGCTCATTACTGGCCTTCCAGACCTATCTTCATCAGTGACGCTTTTTCTTCCCTCAGAGAAATGTTTAATCCATTTGTACATTGCCATTTTTTCTTCATGGTGTTATCCCCATAAACTTGGACTAACACATCCCTGATTTCACTTCCAGTCTTGTCAAGTTTAACAAGAAATTTAATGTTTGTTCATTCTCGAATTCAAGATCTGACATTCTCACAACAGCACACAAAAACATGCGATAACAATAATGAACACCACTCAGCAAGACACTGCCACATGTCAACATGAACACAGCTCTGAGATACTGATATGCCAAGGTTATAAAACCTTACCTGGTTGTTTGTACAATGCTGCCAATGTCAGTGCACAGTGGCTAGCTCATGAACTTAATTGTCAGACCTTTTAATACAATACCATGCATATAAATATTAAAGGCAATCCCATGTTTTTTTAAATGTATATTTCTTTTTCTGTTCACATTTGTTTTTCCTAGAGAGAGAATATACTGTAGTGCATAAAAACACCAGGCTCAGACTGCCATATTTGCATCCTGATTTCCACCACTTACCAGCTATAACCTTGTGCAGGTGACTTAACCTGTTAGCTTTTCAACCCCTTCATTTGCAAAATAGGGATAATTGTATTTATATGATGGAAGTTTGTTGAGGATTAAATGAATTAGAACAGTGCTTTGCATAATAAAAGTGCTTAAGTAATGTTAACTTTTATTATTATAATTAATAGATCCATGAATCTGTTTGTAAAATATTAAGACAGACTGAAAAGAGAGCCCCAAGTTCCTTTTTGTGTTTCCTTTGGGAGAGGGGAGAAGGGAGAAGAGAATGGGATTTAACATGGTAGTTAAAAGGAACATCAACTTTGTTTTTACTGTTTTCACTTCTTTTATTAAAAGGGTTTTTAAAAAAGGCAAAGTATATATGAAAAAATATATAGTGTTAAGTTTGAATATATATGGTACTATTTTCATACTTTTTAAAATTACTAAAGAAAACTCACAAGACAAAATTATATATATATATAATTATAAGTAATACTATATATTTTTTACAATACATAGATTTACTTCTTTATACACATATATAAATTTAAAAAATGAATCGTTAGCATACCCACTCAATGTATCATTGTTTCTGACTCTGGAGATGTGATCGGAATGAATGGGTAGAACACAGAACTTTAGCTTTTTCTAATTTTAAAATAAGAGGCGGTGAATTCATATATTATTTGCTTTTTAAAAGCATAAACATTACAAAAGATTTGAAATAAAGAAAGAAAAATCTTAAGACATAGCCTAATATATGTGGTAGAAATATGACTTCTTTATTTCTTTGTATTTTTCTGTATAATTATATTTTTAAATACAAATAAAACAAAGGTTGACATATTGGGGTTCAGTGATCAAATAGGATGCTTGCTCTAGCCCCCCATTTCCTTGACTTGCTTTTACAAAGCTACATTTAGAGATGCTAGGCACCTGAGTGTGGCTGGGTTCCCAAAAATTGGTCGAGGGAGGCATTAGTAGAGTTAGGTCTCAGCCAGTGTCTCTGAGCTGGTCAGGAGACATAGCCAATGGCCCTACCCACCTGCCTGACTTGGGGGTATTTGTGTCTTCAAATTCTTAAAGTTGGAGGAAAAGGATAGCCCTGATTTTTTACATTCACTGTGGTGCACAAAACACAAAGTTGATAAATTCTCAACTAATAATTAGCTTCTTCATGATCTGTTATTTTTTAAAAATCTGCTTGTTACCCTTGCCCAACAAATTCCCTGCCCCTCATTATATTTTTTTAATTTCAGAACTTTGATATTTCTTTTTTTTTTTTGAGTTGGAGTCTCACTCTGTCACCCAGACTGGAGTGCAATGGCCACTCCCGGCCACCGCAGCCTCGACCTGCTGGGCTCTGGCGATCCTTCCGCCTCAGCCTTCCAAGTAGCTGGAACTACAGGCGCGCGCTACCACACCCGGCTAGTTGATATTTCTTTGTGTTTCAAAATTTAGATCTGTCCAATACAGAGTATCCCAAGGTGTGATTTTTCAGGAGACACTCAATATTCTTCAAATACATTTCAGCGTCTTTATGCAACTAAAGTGTCTGGTGGCTCAATTACTAACAAGAGACAGTGTAGGACACAGTGACACAAGCTGTGAAGCACATCCGGGAGATGTTTCCTATTATTTTATCCTGCCACACCCTTGGATTTAGAGAAAAGGAAAGGAGCTGACGGAGTAAATTACATTCTGCCAGATCCACGGATCTGCCTGTTTGTTTCTAAGGTGTGCTGCTTCATCCTCCAGGTCGGGGTCTCCCAGCAGGACAAGCCGAGGTGGAAATGATAGAACGAGCCCGGGAGAAGCGTGCTTGGGAAGCCACTCTTCCTCCTCTGAGTGACACCTCCCAGTTTGAGAAGAGGAGGAGGTTGATGGATGCAATGGAAAGGAAGGAGTGGGCCTTCAGAGAGCATGAGATTGAAAAGTAGGTTCTCTGTAACCAGGTAACTGTTCCTGCATGGTGGGAGCAATGTCAATACTTTTCATCTGTAAAGCATTCTTCCAAATGTGTGGGTTTACAAACAGTCCTCAACCTGTAGACATAGGAAATTGGGTTTCTGGTTCTTTCAGGAGCAGTCACACACTTCTGATGTGGTATCGCAGCTCTCTATGACTTTCCATCCAATAATATGAACTTGTGTAATGCCCTCTTTGCATGTGATGAAATTCAGCATGGAACCCAGGTTTGAACAACTCTCCGAGGGCATCCCTGATTCTTCTGTTCCCTTTATTTTTAGTATCTCTCTAGACTGTCACAGAATCCCACTGATTTCTGCGAAGCATCTTTCTTTCTTTTTTTTTTTTGAGTTGGAGTCTTACTCTGTCGCCCAGACTGGAGTGCAGTGGCTGCTCCCGGCCATCACAGCCTTTACCTGCTGGGCTCTGGCAATCCTTCCGCCTCAACCTTCCAAGCAGGTGGAACTACAGGTGTGCACTACCATGCCCGGCTGATTTCTGATTTATTGTAGAGATGAGGTCTCGCCAAGTTGCCCAGGGGGGTCTCAAACCATCGGGCTCAGGCAATCCACTCACCTCAATCTCCCAAGGCGCGGGATTACAGGCTGAGCCACCGAGCCCAACTGAAGCATCTTTCAGACTGTCCCTTTGTGTTCATTCCCAGCGCAACTGTCCCTAAGCTGGGCTTTCTTCACATCCTACCAAATAGCCTCCTAGCTAGTCCTTGCTCTTACTCTCCCCTGACACTGGATTCAGTCAGGATGCCTTCGGTTCTAACTAGAGCTGATGGGGCATTCCTATTTAAAAGAAAAATTGTGGAATTCTTCCATTAAGAGATGAGCTTACATAATAATATGCATAAACAATAATACACTGAGGCACTTTTGGTTGAGTTTTCAGTCATTTTAACTGTTCTATATTCAGTAATGAGGTTGTTGCTGAAATGATAAGAAATGATGAGAACCAAAAATTTATAACACTCTAGCAAGAAAGAAGAAGAGCAATTTTTGAGGTTGTCCTTTTTCTGGGCTGTGCTGAGGTACTTTATTGCTCATAGCAATGCTACCAAGGACCCTAACATACAAGAAGGAGATGAAGAGACATAGAGATTCAGCTAGGTGCTAAATTTGGAATGTGTTAATTTTTTGCAACACCTTCTGATTAAACCTGAATCTACACTATGTGATTTTTTTTTTAGTTGGTGACTCACTCCATTGGCCTGGCCTGCTGTACTCCAGCGATCCTTCTGCCTCAGCCTTGCAAGTATCCAGAACTATAGGCGCACACCACCACACCTGGCTAATTTTTTATTTATTGTAGAGACGAGGTCTCACCATGTTGCCCAGGCTGGTCTCGAACCTGCAGACGCAGGCAATCCACTCGCCTCGGCCTGCCAAAGTGCTGGGATTACAGGCTGAGCCATCAAGTCTGGCGTGACTATGTGATATTTTGACAAAAGCTTGCAGTTTAATAAAGGCTAGTGTTTGGGACAAAGTAGATGTCAGATACCCAATCCTGTCTGCAGAAATGTAAAGTTATTGCTGTACTTGGAGAGGTATAAGTCTTCTCAGAAGGCAGTAAAAATAGTAAAAATGTAACTGGTCAGAATGAAAGCATCCCTGAGAAAGTGAGTACATTTGTTAAGTTGAGGACAATTTTAATAAACATAGTTTGAGTCCCTCCTCTGTGCTGGGCTCTGTGCTGTGAGTTGGGAAAACAGAGATGAATAGGAGACTGCTATGCCCTGATGGAGCTTCTGTAGTCCACAGGGGCTGGGTTGGGGGGAGGTGGGCAGGAGATGGGGAAAACTAACTCAGACCAACATCTCCCAGGCAGTGTCTGTCAGGTGAGGTACTGCTCTATACCCCACGTGCTAGGGGAACCCAGGTGAGAGAACAATTAGTTCTATTTCAGGTGGGTGATTTGGGAAAACTACTGAGAGAAGGTAGCCTCTGAACTGTGTTGAAGGATGACTAAGAAGCCATCAGTAGAAAGTAACGTCAGACAGTAGTATCAGAAGCTATCAGGTAGACAACACCTGAGAGGTGTGGATCTGAAGATCTTTTGCCCCATCCCCTGCCCACTTCACACCCCTGCCCCAGTGGACTGTACGGAGCTCTGTCACGAATACCAGCTGATGATGATGATGATGATGATGATGATGCTTGCAGAGTGCTCACTATGTGCCAGATAACGTTCTAAGCCAATAGTTCTCAGAGTGTGGTCCACAGACCAGCAGCATCAACATCACCCGGGAACTTGTTAGAAATGTAGATTCTAGGCCAGGCTCAGTGGTCCAGCCTGTAATCCCAGCACTTTGGGATGCCAAGGCGCGTGGACTGCCCGAGCCTGTGGGTTCGAGACCAGCCTGGAAAACTTGGTGAGACCTCGTGTTTACAATAAATAAAAAATTAGCCGGGCATGGTAGTGCGCGCCTGTAGTTCCAGCTACTTGGAAGCCTGAGGCGGAAGGATCACCAGAGCCCAGCAGGTTGACGCTGGGTGGCTGTGAGTATGCCACTGCACTCCAGCCTGGGCAACAGAGTGAGACTCCAATTCAAAAAAAAAGAAAAGAAAGAAAGAAATGCAGACTCTTGGGCCTCATCCCAGACCTACTGAATCAGGGGTTGGCTCCCAGCAAGCTGTGTCAGAACCAGCCTTCCAAATTATTCTGATGCCCACTTAAGTTTGAGACCTATTGTTCTAGTACCTTGTATACTTTAACTCATTTAATATTCACAGTAGACTTAGGAGGAGGATACTGTCTATTATCATCATTGTTTTACAGTGGAAGAAACTGAGATCGGTGGCAAAGTTGAGAAATGAACCTAGTATTCCTAACTCTAGAGAGACAGGTGACTGTGTGTGTGTGTCTTTGTTTTAGAAGCAACTACCTCTTCACACCCATCTGTCACTCCTCCCTCGCCTCTCACGTGGGTTCACTCTGAGAAGTCCTGCAGTGGGACAAGTTGGCTCTCTCTGGTTCTGAGTTGAACATTCAGCTCCCTCTGCTGAGGCCTTGCTTTTCTCTTGTTAATGTGGCAAATCCCTATCCTGGTCTACAAGACTGCTGAGCCAACAGCTCCTCTAAGGAAGCCTTCCCGCCTTCCCCCACCCTTCCCCATGCTCTGTTGTTTCTTCTCCCACAGAAGTCTTTTCACTCTTGTAACCTGGCTCTCCTCTCCCTGTGTTGGAAACATTGGTCTATATGCCTATTCCACCAGAGCAGTGCCTCTGACGAGAAAGTGTTTTATCTTGTACATAATTGTTCCTGGCTGGCATATGGTGGGCACTTAATGAGTATGTCACAAGTCAGTGAGTGAATACATTAATGTATGACTTTTTAAATAGGAGTGCAATGTATGTTCACATCTCTGTTTTAGGAAGGAAACCCTTGGTAGCTGGGTGGAGCACAGATTGGAAGGAGGAGAGGCTAGCGGCAAGGAGTCCAAGTTAGGAGCGAGCTGATAAAAACGGGTTGGGGGTGGATGCAGACACGTTTCAGAGGAGGGATCCTTAGCAGAGGGAAGAAGGTAGAAGAGGGCAGACTTATGGGGGAACAGCACGAGTAGGGTTTTTTCGAGATTGTTAAGGGACAGCTGGAGATTCAGGTCGACAGAAATTCTGGTTCAGAAATCTCTGAGATGGAGGTCCAGATTTCAAAGTCATCTGTGCATGGTTACACGCGCATGAGCAAGGCAGCCCAAGGAGAACGAGTTGGAGGAAAGGGCAAAAGGAAGAAAGATTTTTTTGAGCACCTCCCCTGTGCCAGAACTGACCTTTTCACCTTTACACCTTACAATAGCATGCCAGAGCCTCATTTTCTCCTCATTCTCCCTGTTAACCTCACCCTCCAGGAATACCAGTCGAGCTGGAGCTGAGTGCAAGTCTTTTTCTGAGGGCCTGTCAGCCTAGAGAGCCCGTCTTTTGCCCCATCTGCCTGGCACACTCTTCTTCATCCCTCAGAACTGCACTCATGTATGTTTCTATTGTTTAGAGAGTCTCTGTTGAGTTGCCTCTCCCACACCCCCAACTTCTCTGTCACACCTTTGCCAGCATGGTCTTTTGACAACACTTGAAGGGGATACCAGCCCACTGAGAAGACCGTGTCTGTGACAGCTGTTCCTTGCCCTCTGTTTGAGATGCCATACATTTCTTTATGTTTTGTAATTTACCTAAAGGCTGCAGGAGATTCGCCTAGAAGTTCTCAAAGAGCTGCTGAGGAAGCGTGAAGAGAACCAGAACGACGTGAACATGAAGCACTTGAACGCCCAGTGGTTTAAACTGCAAGAAGCAAAAGAGGCAAAAATGGCACAAATCCAGCGTACACACATATCAAGTAATGGTGTAGTATGAACAACAAAGACAGTAGAAAAGTGGGCTTTGCTTTGGATCTTTGACAGAACCTGATTTAACTATGATATAATTCTGTTTTGATCCTAGTACCTGGTACCTATCAAATAGGATGAGAGAATGGGTTATTTTTAAAGGTAGATGAGTGGAGAAAATTCCTTACTAAGAAAATCAAGTGACTATGCTCTAACAGGCAGTTGAGTTATTGACATATGGTGTGTGTGTGTGTGTGTGTGTGTGTGTGTCTCTGTGTCTGTGTGTCTGTGTGTGTATGTGTGTGCAGCTATAGGGTTCCCCATATTCATGGACCAAGGCCCTGGATAAAGAGCCCTGTTTCTCATCCTTTTTTCATTATTTCCCCCTAAAGGAGACATCTGGACATTCTTTTTCCTAGTCATCCTCCTCCAAGATGTTTAAATATCACAGATATACTGTATATATTTATGTACTGTGTGTATATCTGTACTTTATACATAAAAAGGAGAAATTTACTCTTTTTATTCAGTGCAGGATTAAGAATGATAATTTAAAATTTAAGATTAAAAATGTTGTTATTAACATTTAATTTAATTTCATAGCTTTATGTATTTGCAGAGAAAATTAATATAATTTATTTACTTATAAAATTGTATCAATTATATATGCATATTTGCTATTTATACATACACTTATTAACATTTTAATTATTCTTTAAAAATCATTCAAAACTTGTATTTCTAGCAAAGGTAAAACAACTATAAGACAAATTATTATTTAAAAATCATTTTTAGTGAATTTAAATTTTAACTTTTTCTTGATGGATGTGAGAAAATAGCTTTTACCTAGCTGCTAGGTATTCATTTAGATAATGTCAACCTTTTTTCTTTACAGCACTTGACATAAATGATGGATTTGACTAACTTTTATAGTTAAGTAATAAAGTATAAACTATTTGTACTTAATTCTAAAACACAGTCATAAACAGAAATACTGAGGATGAAACATAAACTTTCCCAAGGTAGCAGTGGTGTGCGGGCCCCCTCTTGCAATATGACTTCACAATCTTGTGATATGATTTTTACACCTGTTGAGAGTGCACAATGCAGGGCATCAAAAAGGTTTGGATCTGAGATGGGACTGGAAAGAAAAGGGGCAGACGGTGGTAGTAAGCATAATTCTAGATGTGTAGACTCCTAATGTGCACAGGTGAGCCTTTTCCCTCTGGCCATCAAACAATTCTGTAATCTATCAGCTGGGACATCTTCTGGCTTATTCTGATGTTATCCAAGATTAACCTATAGCCTTCCCTTTTAAGTATTCTTTTAGGGGACAATAATTCCTCTAGTTCTCTAATGAACACATATTTTCCAGTTACTTTGAGTTTTATTCATTTAGCAAGTTTCACTGAATGCCTCTTCCTGGCCTGGAGTTTAGAATGCAGTTATAAAAGATCTTTGATGAGTACCAATTGAGGACACTAGCTGATTCCACCTCTGTCACTCCTGAGTGTCTCATGACAAGCAATCTGGGCCACACAGATGGCAGACCTCTGATTTTAGTGTTACATTCTGGCTGTGGTGAGTCATCATGCAATTCATTCTTTTCAGTAGATTCCCTGTGAATAACACTAGAATTGGTTTACTATTCCGCATTTGGGTAATTCAGAACAATATTGTGGAGATAGTTATGGGGGTATGTTTTATTTCAGCAATCAGAAAGCTTGTAGAAAAGAGAAAGAATGTAGAAGGGAAGCTCGAGAGAAGAAATATCATCAAGGATTATTCTGACTATGGATCACAGGTCTACGGACCTCTAGCTCGTCTTGGTCGTTTCCCAGACAACAACTCAGAGGATTTTGTAGTGAAAAACCACTATCTCAACACCTATGAAGGTAAGCTGTATACTTAATTAGGTGTTTAGTATAAGAGATTATCTCCGAAATATAAATATATAACATATAAAAATTCAAATTAAAAGCTAGCAGCTATAATATTATTAATATGAGTTCATACAAACCAATAAAAACTACTAAGACCCAAATAAATAGCTGGACACACTATAGAAAAATTTGGCAAGGGCAAATTCAGTTAGCTACTAAACATTAAAAAATGTTTAATGCCACTAATAATCAAAGTAATCACAAAGTGAAATAGAAAAACTTTTATACCAAGTTTATGAAGCAAACACAAATATGTAATGAAATCAACCCTGTACAAAGAACGTCAAAAAACTAGTGGGCAAGGGGATGAGGAGTCAGAGAACAAATTCATGGACAGGGCTATGCCTTTTATGATGTCCAAGATGGGCTTATTTGTTATTTGATTCCGTTAGGCTGAAGCATCACATGGCCAAAACCATGAGTTGATGGTCACACTATTGAACCTATAGCTCTGGCTGGCCATCTCCAGAGCAGAATGCAATGAATCAGCGAACATCTACTTTAGAATAGTGGCACCATGTATCACAGGATAACAAATTTTCTGTTGATCAATATTGTGGAATTACTACATTTGGTAGAGTAATATTTTTATTTTAGAATGCATTTCTTACATGATAGCCTAAGTGACTGATAATATAAGTTTTTTTTGGTTTTTTTTTTTTTTTGAGTTGGAGTCTCACTCTGTCACCCAGACTGGAGTGCAGTGGCCGCTCCCGGCCATCGCAGCCTCAACCTGCTGGGATCCGGCGAGCCTTCCGCCTCAGCCTTCCGAGTAGCCGGAATTACAGGCACGCGCTGCCATGCCCGGCTAATTTTTGATTTGTTGTAGAGATGAGGTCTTGCCAAGTTGCCCAGGTGGGTCTCGAACCCATAGGCTCAGGCAATCCACTCACCTCAGCTTCCCAAAGTGCTGGGATTACAGGCTGAGCCACCGAGCCCAGCCAACATGAGTTTATTATACAGAAATGTGCCTTACATTTCTGAGACAGTTTATTTTATAATTACAACTTTAATGAAACCACTTGGCAAACAGCTCCCGAAGTTAGCAATTTACCTTAAAAATGATAACCATAAGCATTAGATACTAAAAACATGTACTTTCTTCCCATAGGATTAGTCGAGCTTGAGTCATGTCTCCCAGATTTTGTGACACGACCCCAAATCAGAGCACCCAAACCAAAAGTGGTTACCACCAAATCTGGTTTTCTGAAGAGGGCAGCGAAGTTGGATTCTGAATTGGCAGAGATTCATAAGGTATGATCATTATCTGGGAGACAAGATGCTTCTAATGTGACTTTGCAGAGAAATGCTACACTCCAAAAATTACACTTTGTCTTGGTAGCAATGTCCAGTAGGTTTAACATACACCTTACATTCTTTCTCTCCTGTAGACTTTTTGCTTCTAGAGGTTACCTATCCTGTGCTGAACCAATGTGTTGTTTTTCCCTCATTTCAAACTGTAGGAACACCTCTTAGAGGTTATTTTCCCCATTTGTAGAAGTCATGTTACTTTCTGAAAGTGTTTCCAATTTTGGATCTTTACAATAAAATGTGACACTATACAGAGGAGTAGGAAGTTTCTAGTACAGTATTAGAAATGAATTACTTTTGGCGTTAGTAGTCATAATAAGCCTCATTTTTCTGTCATATATTTGTTATCAGGACATCATGACTTTAAAGAGTCATGTTCAACCCCTTTCTCATCTAGTTTAGAACTCAACTAAAGCAGAAAATTTGATGACCTTCCCCAAAGACCAGCCACACAGCATCCATCAACTGGGCTTTCCCTTTTGCTAATTTGACTATAGTGAACTTGGTGTTTGGACATTTTAGAATCTGTGGTTTATGATAGTGGTACTTTGTCTTTCCTGTGCATCAGAACCATGTGAAAGGCTTGTTAAAACATCCCCAAAGTTTCTGATTCAATAAGTCTGGGGTGAGGCTGGAGTATTTGCATTTTTTTTTACAGGTTTCCAGGTGATGTTGATGGTGCCAGTCCAGGAACCTGGTCTTGGAGACCCACTGGTTTATGACATACTCTCATTACTGATCCATGCATGTTTATTTGCTCAGTTGATTTTAGCCATATAATAAGAATTGCTAGAAACCTATACTGAACTTAAAAAATTAGGACGTGGACAATGATTTACATATGTCTATAGGATTCTTTCTTCTTCGTCACTCTCTGCCCTGTCTCCCCTTACCCTCCTGAAAGCTGTGTTCATCATTCTCTCACTTTCTGTAAGATTTTTTTTGTGGTGAATTCTTTCTATTAGGTTATGGAAGTTTTCCTCTATTCCTAATTTACTAAAGCTTTTAATCATACATCTATGTTATATTTTATCAACTGTTTTAACTACATCTACAGAGTTAACTACATACATCTTTTTTCTTTTAAAAATTACTGCTGTAGTAACATTTATACTTTTTTACAAATATTAATCTATTCTTGCATACTTGGAGTGAACCTGCCTTGGTCAAGGTGTATCAGCTTATGTTTAATACGTTGTTGGATTTGATTTACTAATTTGTTGATTTTGACTTTGCTTCTATATTCATGAGTGAAATGGCCTTATTTTTCTTTCTCATTTTGACTATGTGTGGGGTTGGTGTTAGAATTATGCAGGTTTTCTGAAATAAACTGGGGTATATTCTTTCTTTTCTTCTCTTTTGAGAAGAATTTGAATAAGATTAGAGTGATATGTTCCTTCAGTTTGGTAGAATATATGTATAAACTTATCTGAGACTAATGTTTTCTTCATGGGAAAAAAATTAACGATTATAGCTTCTTTACGACTTACAGGAAAAAACTTTTCTGCATTGTTTTTGGTAAATTATATTTTCTTTAGAAATTCTTTTTCAAGTAACTTTCCTTTTTTTGGCATATGATTGTGCATATTGCTTTATAATCTTTAAAATGTTTGTTCCATCTTATTCACGTTCACCTTTTTCATTTATAATATTATTTATTTGGGCCTTAACTCTTTTCCCTTAATCAGTTTACTGGAGGCTTGCTTGTTTTATTAGTATTAACTTTACAAATGATGAACTTTTGATTTTGTTAATTTTTACTATTATATATATTTTTGTTTGCATTAATTTTCACTTTTATATTTATTATATCTTTCTTTCTACTTGCTTTAGATTTGTTTCATAGTTCTTTTTCTTTTCTTTTTGAGTTGGGGGTCTCACTCTGTCACCCAGGCTGGAATGCAGTGGCATGATCACAATGATTATGCCTCAGAGCAGCCTCGACGTCTTGAGCTCAGGTGATCCTTCCACTTCAGATCCTGTAGCTGGGACTACAGGTCTGCACCACCACTCCTGGCTAGTAGTTTGGTTTTTTTTGTAGAGATAAGGTTTTGCTATGTTGCCCATGCTTGTCTCAAACTCCTGGGCTCAAGCAGTCCTCCTGCCTCAGCCTCCCAAAGATCTGGGATTACAGGTGTGAGCCACTGCACCTGGACTATTTCATAGTTCTTTTTCTAACTTAAATTGGACATATAGCTCATCAACTTAAGGCACTCATCAGTTTTATATTAATATTTTAGGCTTAACATTTCCTTCAAAACTGATTTTGGCTACATTCCATTAGTTTTGATATATAGTCTATTTGTCATTATTCTAATTTCTAATATCTGAAAATATTCATTATGGTTTTTGAACCTGTGAGTATTTACCAGTGTGTTTTAAAATTTTCAAATATGCAGGAATTTAACTCATTTTCTAATTAACTTCTAACTCAATTAACTGTGATCAGAAATCATAGTTTGTGTGACAGCTATTCTTTGAAATTTAGTGAGGCTTGCTTTGTGGACTAGTGTATGATTATACATATAAAATAATCAAAATCAACTTCCAAATAATACTACTCCACTTCATGTATGCATCAGATGCCGTATAGCAAATTACTCCCGATTCCTCTGTCCCATTCCTGTGACATTGTCATTCATGTCATTCATGTCACTGATCTATATGCTATAAACAGCCAATACATTTTTACTCATATTGCTTTAACAGTTATTTTTTAGATTAATTTAAAAATAAGAAAAAGATTTTATTTTACCTTCATTTATTCCTTTCTTTCTACTTTTCCTTTCTTTGTATAGATCCAAGTTTCTGATCTATATTATATTTTCTCCTGTCTGAAGAATTTGTTTTATCATTTCTTGCAGGGAAGTTCTGCTGGCAATGAAATCTTTCCATTTTTGTCTCAGGAAGTTTTTATTTCTCCCTTACTTTTCTAGGAGGTTGTACTTCACATACAATAAAATCCACCCTTTAAAAGTGTACACTTCAGTGGTTTTTAACATAGTCATGAAGTTGTACAGCCATCACCACTGTCTAATCCTGGAACATTTTCATCACCCCCAAAGCAAACCCATACTCATCAGCAGCCATTTTCAATTCCCACTTTCTTTCAACCCCTAGTAAACACTATAGCACTTCCTTCTTATGGATTTGTCTATTCTGAACATTTTGTATAAATGGAATCATGCAATATGTGACTTTTTATCTGACTTCTTTTACTTAGCATAGTGTTTTTAAGGTTCATTCATGTTCTAGCACTCCTCGGTACTATGACTGCACAATATTCCATTGTGTGGATATACCACATTTAATTTATCTACTCACCATGGATGGACATTTAAGTTGTTTCTACTATTGACTATAATAAGTATTGACTATAGTAAGTAATGTTTCTACTATTGATTATAATAAGTACAATAAGTACGAAGTATTTGTGTACACGTTTTTGTGTGGATGTATGTTTTCAGTTCCCTTGGGTATATTATCTCTAGGAGTGGAATTGCTGGGTCATACAGTAACTCTATGTTTTACTTCTTGAGGAACTGGCAGACTGTTTCCAAAGTGGTTGCACTGTTTTATATTCCCACAAGCAATGTATGAGTGTTCCAGTTTCTCCACATTCTTGCCATCACTTGTTACTGTTCATCTTTTTTTATTATAGCTATCCTAGTGTGTGTGAGGGACCATCTCACTGTGGTTTTAATTTGCATTTCCTTAACGGTTAATGCTGTTGAGCATCTTTTTGTGTACCTGTTGGTCATTTGTGTGTATCTATCTATCTATCTATCTATACTTTTTTTTTTTTTTTGGTAAATATCTGTTAAGATCCTTTGCCTATTTTAAAAATGAGTTGTTTTGTAGAAGATAAGTTCCTATATATGGAATTGCCGGACTACTTGTATGTGCATTTATAATTTTGATGAGTATATCCCAATGACCAAGTCAAAAAAAATAAACATAATAGTATGATTTTGATGGATATTGCCAAATTTTTTAATGTAAATAATGTACCAGCTTCAACAGTGTGTGAGAATGCCTGTTTTCCCACATTGTTACCACATAAACTGTTATGAATGATTGGTTTTGAAATTGTTTCATGTAGTATTGTTCAGGACTCTTCCCTCAAGAGCTACCTGATTATAGGATTACTAATTACTCTTAGACTGCTGCTGCTTTCCATTGAATCACCAGCTATGGTTACCATAGAGCTGTTATATATTTGCTATCAGTTTTGTTTTGAAAAAAACTTAGAGGCTTAATTACAACCACAGTAATTTTAGGTGGTTCCAAATTCCACTCATAATCTGCATATTTCTATGAGCTTCAAGTTTTGGCTTAGTGCTTTTTTTTTTTTAAAAGCTCACTTTTAGTGGTAAATGGAGTGCAAAAATTATTATTATTATTACTCTTGTTATTTGATCTGGAAACTCACTCTGTTGCCTAGGTTGGAGTGCAGTAGCACATACTACATGTAGTCAGTGGCTAATGTATTCTTAGGCATATCGTAGCATCCTTTGGGAGATACACACACCTTTGTTAGAACTTTCTCAGACTGACCTAGCATTGGATAGAGAATATTACTTCTGATTGATATTCAGATCTGGCCTACATCTTATAAAAAAGAAAGTGTACAGTACAACATACATAATTTGGGTGATGAACTTCACCATTAACAATATATACATGTAGCTGAGCTGCACCTGTTCCCCTTAAGTTTATGCAAAAAAAGAGAAAATGAAGCCAGGCTTGGTGGCTCAGTCTGTAATCCCGTGCTTTGGGAGGCTGAGGTGAGTGGATTGCCTGAGCCTGCCTGGGCAACTTGGTGAGACCTCCTCTCTACAATAAATCAAAAAAAATTAACCGGACGTGGTAGCACGCACCTG